CAAAAGGCTCTTGAATGAGCATAGCCATGTATTTTCTTTATTTCTCCATCTTAAACTTAGGAATTATGATTAAAATATCTTCTTAGTGAAAATCTTACTGTTCTGTTTTTGATACCGTAATATTCCATTGCCCTTGCCAGATGTACACACATTTGATGTAGTATAGATGACTTCATTCCTGTCCCTGTTGTTTAAATCTTGCCTTGAATGCTCAGTTCTTCTCCTGTCAGCTTGACGAGGACTCTTTCTGGGGCTGATGTCAAGCAGGGAGAACTTTCATGATATAGTTATCATGAAATGTATGAGTGGTTTTGGTCTCTGCTTGGGCTTAGATCCTGTGCGTCAGACAACTCTTGTTACTGATGGAGTTTCTCCTATTTTATTATGCGTTGTTGGGAAGCAAGCTGTAATAGTGCAGGTGGAGGAGAGCTTTTTACCCTGTTGCAGTGTTTGCCACATGGAATTCCTGCTCCACTGCATGCGCACAGGGGTCAGACAGTCCCAGGCTATCCCTGGCAGAATGCAAGGAGACTCACAACTGAATCTCTGGTTTTACCTTGGTTAATGGATTTACCTTAACAACCACTGTCTGTAAGGCTTGATCTTTTGACTTACTGAAATAATGTGTATAGCTTCCTGACTGCTGAACTCGTTCCCAGAACTACCAGTTCCTGCAGACATGCAGCATGACTGGCTGCCTTTAGCTCACAAAAACAGTGACATCATGTGGGAATGGGGCCTCAGGAATAGAATACTACTCAATTCCTTCCTCCCGTTTTCCTCATTATCTTTTTGTTTTGTTGTTTGGGTTTGTTTGGCTTTTTTTTCATTTACCATGGTGTGGGAGTTACTACAGCCAGAGCAACCTAATGAATGTAAATCATTGATTCACCACTAGGTAGTTTACTGAAATAAAGGGCACAAAGCTATAGATACCAGGCCCAAACTAGCCCCAAATCAATCAGGAAATCCAGTATCCCAACACCAGGGTCTGCCTCATGGTTTCAGTATTATTTTATTTGGATTTTCCTAGTCTCTCCTCACTCTGGATAATGGAGATACATTATTACAAATAAATGAAGGTAATATGATGCTATTATTTTTTTTTACCTCATTAGTCCATAATAACTGGAAACCCAGATTTTAAGTAATGGTTGAGATTTTTCTGTTAATGTGGCAAGATACCAGGAGACTATACCAAAGACCAACCCTCTTGTTTTGCAGCATGAAATATTACACATACAAAGAGGTAAGCAGGCAGTTTGTTATATGCTGTGAGCTGACACATTCATTTTAGGGAGATTAATCTCACAGAGGAGAGCATATGTGGAATTGGGTCACAGCGCTTCACATATTCAAACTTGTGTAAGATACAAAGTGATCAATCCCCATAAAATCTTTGTAAAGCAAATAAGGTTTATTATTTATAAGAGTAAACAGGTTAGCATTTATCTTTTTGAAGCATGGCAGTAACATAAAATATGTTCTAATTTCTATTGTTTTTAGTTACTTGCATCTTAAAAGCTCTACATTGGATTGTTACACCTTCCTAGAATTTGATGGTTTATGTAAGATACTTGCAACGTGCTGAAATTACAGTTCTCAAAACTAGCAAAGAAGAAAACAGCATGGCACAACATGGAAATTTGATGTTATATATGCAGACACGTATATATTTTAATACACAACTATTGAACCCTTTAAGTTATTCATAATCAAGATAGCACAATCACATAGACCACCTAGCAAAGCAGATGCTTACCTCCCAGTCCTGGTACAATCAGAATAGCACAAGAACGAGATAGCCAAGCCAGTAAAATCTGTCTTCATTTATAGTCTGCTTCAATTTCAGTTGTATCTAATGGAAGCTTGGTCACTGCAGTGGCATTTGAAAATGACTCTCGGCAGCAACTGAAGTCAGTTTTAATGAGAGTTAACTGGAGTATGTGGAACAGTGTTACTTTCATTCCTGTAATTCATCTCCTTTCTCCTCTCTCATCAGCAATTCCTTCTCATCTTCACATACAGTTCAGGCTTTTTGTATTACGACAATTGCTACTTCATCTTTCTTTTTAAGTAGATCCTGATTTGGTACACATCACTGATTCTCTGCTGAGCTCAAAATATTTTTTCACTAATCTGTGCCAGAAGAAGTTAGGGTTCTCCCACTTATTTTGCAAAATTTGAGGCTATTCCACTGTATTATTTAGGAAGATAATCCTTGCATGGTTTGAGAGCGGCTTTTTTGCACTAGTCCTAGAACTTCACCTGATAGGAACTGTTCAGATTATCCTGTGGTCTTTCAGCCACAGTCAACCTTGGAATGGGAGGCAGTGCTTTGAGAGGAATCTCTTCTGCATCTTTTAGGATGATCAGTGTAGAATGTTGCTCTTTGATCTGTGCTTGACTTAGAATCTTATAGAATCATAGAATCATAGAATCGGTAGGGTTGGAAAGGACCTTAAGATCATCTAGTTCCAAACCCCCTGCCGTGGGCAGGGACACCTAACGCTAAATCATACCACCCAAGGCCTCGTCCAACCTGGTCTTGAACACTGCCAGGGATGGAGCATTCACAACTTCCCTGGGCAACCCATTCCAGTGCCTCACCACCCTAACAGGAAAGAATTTCCTTCTTATATCCAGCCTAAACTTCCCCTGTTTAAGTTTTAACCCGTTACCCCTTGTCTTGTCACTACAGTCTCTAATGAAGAGTCCCACTCCAGCATCCCTATAGGCCCCCTTCAGATACTGGAAGGCTGCTATGAGGTCTCCACAGAAGAGCTGCCCCTGATGTTTTTCTGGGTCTGGGAGGTTTGAGGTTTCTATGCTTTGTGTTGGCCCAAGTTCTGCTGACAGCAAAGGTAGCAGAGAACTTTGGTCCCCACTCAGCATTCCTCAAGGACCACCACAGCCACCCTCAGAGAATTTTTCTTAAAATGTTTGGGGTTTGGGGGGGTTGTGTGTGTGTGTGTTTTGTTTTTTGTTTTGGTTTTGTTTTGTTTGGGGGTTGGGAGTGGGGGTGTTAATTCTTTTTGTCAAAACGCACAGCGATGTTAAACACTTCCAGAGCTGTCTCGGTGGTATTGCAGCGTATTGAACATCTTTCTTTGCTTGCCAGGAGTAACAGTGACACCCTGTGGCCAACTCAGTAGAGGACTTGCACAGAATTTCCATTACTGTTTTTCAAATTCGCCTTTAAATTTCTTACACTGTGGTGAGTATGCAGAAGAATCCCTCCTCTACACAAAGGGGAGGCCTTCATCGGTTTGTCATGTGTCTCTCTCATTAGACATTTCCATTATTTAAGTACATGTCTAATGAGCACTTTAAGATGTTAGTGGCTAAATACTTAAAAAGGTAGAGCAGGAAATGTAGAAACTTAGAAAAGATTACATTTCACTTTAAATTGATATTACAGGACTGTGCTGTTGTTCATTATCTTTCATACCATTTTTCTCCAACAAGGAACTGTCCACTGAACCATATTGGTATGCAATGACAAAATATCCACAATATAAAACTGTACTACATAAACAACTAGATCTTGAAGTCAGCATCATCCTTTTAACTTCTTAGTTGCATCCTTACTTTGATTTGTGTAATGAATCTAAGCACAACTGCTCTGTAACTACTGACATAATTCTGTTTCCAGTTAAGCCCTTCACTGTACAGTACTGTAGTTCTGCCGTTATCACATGCTAATGTAAAGGGCATGTACCCCAGTTAAAAATTTTGTATGAGTTTATCCTTCGACACTTGCTATGTCATTCAGGCAATATAGCTGACTGAATACTATGGTCTGCACAATGCAAGTGGGTTAAGTCTCATGCATGCTAAATAGCTGACAAAAGAAAGATTTTAAAGCTTCAGGAGAGGAAGTGGTCTGCTTTTGGCTGGTTTTGGATGTTGGTGGTGGTTGGTTTTGTGGGATTTGTTTTTTCTTGTTGGGGTTTTGGGGATTTTTTTGGTATAAAGGAGAATAAACATTTAAGGAATATTGGGCAAAGATCCATATTCTTTAAAACACAGATTGTTTTAAAAAAATAATGGATATGCAGGGAAGAATTTAATAAATTAGGTATCCTCTGTGCTTGAAACTTAAGCCCATTCCATCTTGTCCTATCAGAAGTTCAGGTATTTGGATGGCAGGGCAGTGTTCTTTAGCACTGGAACAGACTGAATTATTCAATTATTTATTCTTGAAAGATTCATGCAAGCAGGTTAGAAAAGTGTCTATGACAAATATTTTAGGTAGAGTTGGCCCTATCTTGCAGGAGAGGGATGGAGCAGATGGCTTCTAAAGGCTCCTTCCAATCTTTCCTTCAGTGAGTTTATGGTCATGTCAGTGTACTTTGTGTTTTAAATAGTATTTTGTGCATATTCAGTATTATACTTTCCCAAACACACTAAATCTTGTTCTGTTTGCTTGTGTGTGATCTAGAAAAAAACTTCCTGTTCTCACTGCCTTTTTCCACTTGTGGGCTCTGGCAGACCTGTGCTTGATGCTGTACAGATGGTGACTTAGAGCATGAGTACTTATGTTGACAAAAAAAAGCACATTACTTCCACCATCACAAGCCATTTGTATCCCTAGAAGACAGGCACACAGGAATGCCACTGGAGACCAGCATGGAAAGAAAAAAATAAAGGAGCAGTTCCACTTCCAAGCACATCTATTTCCTTCTGTTTAGTCTTACAGGATCTCTGCAGTTCAGTTTTCAGAATTGGTTTCTGCTTTGCAAAGTGGAGCTTTCATAGACCACAGTGCCTATAATACTGTCCTCCTGGCTTCATAGTAATTTCCTTGGGGGCAAGCTGTTTCTGAGGAAAGGATTTTGCCATGCAACTTCAATATGATTGAAAGATACAGGGAGGGACTCTAACTCTCCCTTGAAAGAGTCAGCTGTAACTTACTCAGATACGAGCACTCCCTGACAGACTATGCAGACAAGACATTGTTGACCTATTTTGTGCAGAAAATGTAAAGACAAAGTAACTGAAGGGAAAACGAAAGAATTTATTTTTCCAATTGTTTGAGCAGATTAAAATGCAGCAGGCAAGTAGGGAGCATGAATTAGGACAAAACAATTAATGTGCCCCTCCTTCAGGGGTCTTTGTTTTTTATCAAATATAGTATTGTTTGTAACTTTCAGATCTTGCTAAAATCTTCAGACCTGTTCTGTGCTTCAGCAGCAGGTAGCTACTCCTTGCCTTTGCCCATGCAGCTACCGTTCCATTGCTCCACTCTTTTGACTTACTCTTTTTCTCTGTTACTTCTCCAGATTTTTCAATCTTCCTTCACATTACTTTTTTTTTCCTGGCTTTTCCTCAGTTTTTCTGCAGAAACTCTTGGTCTGGAATATGTGGCTTCCTTTCACAACTGACTAGTTAGAGCACTCTGAAAAGGATGTACGATGGGCAGGCTACACTTGTGTGTATCCCAGCTAGCCATTTCTGCCTGTCTCTTTCCAGCATATGAGTCCCCATAACCTGTGCCTCCCTCCACACAGCACTTTATATAGTTTGAAGGCACTGCTTGATGGTAGATTGCATTTCAATATTGTTTTATTTGGGCTTTTAGTTGTTTGTTTTAGCTGAAATTTTAGAAAAAAGTCTTTTCAAAACAGTGCTTTATGCGTTATTTTATATCTGCATGAATCACACAGGATTATTACAAGAGAAACATTTTATGGAAGTCCTATATAAATTGTTTCTCTGATTCCTTGTGGGCTCTTCATGTCATACCAGATCCTCTCTGGTACAGATTTCCAATTGCAAAAGAAAAAAATTATAGTTTTTTTTTTCCATCTCTTGTTGCTTTTTTCTTTGTTCTTTTTTTTATAAAATATTGGTGATGGCTTTTCCACTGCCCATGGCTAAATATTTAAGACTAGATAAGAATACAGACATGAAAAAGAATGAATTTTAAAGACAATTCTTAAGAAGTATCTGCAAGTATTTCCTTGTCTCCCTTTATTGAACTGGTCTTTCTCCTTAGCTGCTGTTGTAAATATGTTTCACAGCACACAAATGGTACAAAACAGCAATAATGGGGGCAGTTTTGTTGTCAGAGAGCACTGGAAGTCAGAGTTGCAGAAACTTCCTGTATCTTTGATGCATTAGATTACTTGAAACTCTATAGGAAGTCAATATGAACTTAGGCATTAAACCTGTAAAGATGTGTTTGGTTTTTAGACACTACACTGTCTTACTGAAGTAGATGAGTTTAAGGTTTTTTGATTTTTGGTTTTTGTTGTTTTTTTTTAAATTTTTTTATAAATATGACTCTGGGGGCCAAACCTCCTTTTCCATGGAAGTCTTGAGAAACTGGCCACTGGTTTTTCAAACAGGAATATGGCTTTGTAGTACTAGCCAAAAGGAAGGTCCATTAAAGACAGTGCAGAGAGATCCTCATAATTTATTTACTTTAACAGTAATGCTTTTGTAAATTCAAAGTATTTTTGTATATGAGTTGTTGTTAATAGTATGAATTAATAAGGTACTGGATTAAGTCTTTTATTCTTCACGAGTGTTTAATCCTGCCTGATTTACAAACATGAAGAGCAATATCAAGCTATGAATGAAGATACAAAATCAACATATATATATTTTCCTGTCTAGATTAATATGTATGCTATATGGGTGCTGATTTTCATTATGTAATCTGTTCCGAGAATGGAAATAAGCACCATTATTATTTGGAAATACTGTGAAGACAAATAGAAGTTTGAATTTACTGAATTATTAAAGTCTACTTAAATCTGAAGAATCTGTTGTTTCACTCCATGGAAAATTTCTAAGCAGATCATAAACTGCATTTTATTTTACAGTACACTCTCCAGACTGTTAGATTATCACCTTCTCTTTCGTTTTCAATCCTTTCAAAGTTATAATGAAACAAGTCACAGGAACACATGCCCAGTAACAAAATACTCATATGTACATCTTTTACCTTGTCTCGGCTCCACTTGGCTATTAATTTAAAGATATTACAATACAAGACCACGCAAGTTAAGTTTCTTATGTTGTTGATGAATCATCTTCTACAACTACATTATATAACACTACTTGGTTTACACACACAGAGGATATTTGCAATACCAAACAAACATATTTTTTTTCTGTTGGTATCTGGGTTATGAAAATTGGTCTGTTTCGTGCCAATTCTGTCTCCCCAGGAAGTCAGTAGTAGGGAAAGTCACTGTAAAAATGTCATTGACTTCACTCAAGTGATTTGTCTCCAGGTGAAGCACCTTGCCAGCCTGATGTCAAACAATTTGTATCAACTTGTTTGTTGGGGAGGTTTTGTTGTTTGTTTTGGGCTTTTTTATTTTTCTTTTCTAAAGGGGGTGTGCAGGTGCTTAAATGTATATAAGTGTATACTTGTCTGATCAAACCTGTGAAACTGGAATGCCTTTAGCAAATCAGGTGCCAGCTTCACCAATATATTACTCCAGTTTTACATGGTGCTTAATCTCCTGAGAGCAACTAGAGTAGTGCAGTGGCAAATCAACACCTCATGCCTAAAAGCTTGTTGTCAGCTGATCTATGAAGAGCTTGCACTTACCGCTTTGAGTAAACATACGGACCTGTGCAACAGCGGCATGTCGTTTGGTACGTGCACTTAATTTGGATTACAGACTGGAACAAGATTGCAGTCTGCCTATTTAGCCAGGTAAACATTAATCTCTCAGCCAGTATCTTGCGGTCATGGTCCAGCCTCTCCCCATGTTGGAACCTCCTGCTTCAGTTGGTGGATCTGCTTCTGTAGTTCATCTCTGTCCAGCTTCATTTTTGCTTCTAGAACTTGCCGTAGAGACCCAATGCTGTCATAGATAGCTGCAAATCCTAATTGCAGGTGAGACTTAAATTAGTTCATATTCAAAAGCAAGAGTATTGCTATCTAGTAATAATGCTAGTAAAGATTGTGCTTCCTACCATGACATTCTGCTTTACACTAGGAAGATAGCAAAAGAAAAACAGGACTATAACTCTGGGCTGATGGCAGAACTGCACCCGGTCACAGCCACCCTATGCCTATGTGTGCTCTGAGGAGAGCACTCCTGAACTAAAAAAATGTCACCTCTTGTTGCTGTGAATTTCACATTTGGTGAAAATCCTTTTTAGTGCCACAGGGTGCAGCCATTACCTCTGCCCCAAGAGTCTTTAGACTACCTCAGTGCAGGCAAAGGCATTTTGAATATTATTATAGGTGGCTCATTGTTACCACATTTCAGAATAAAGAACTTCATAACTATGGTCCTACCAGCATTAACTTCAGCTTTCATTTCTTTTATATCTTCATTTATCTCATTTTGAAGTTTGCCAATGCGAATATTTATCTTTTCTTCAGTCTGTTTTGCTTCATGTGCTTCCATGGTTATCTTCTGTATTTCTTCTATTTTGTCAATTTTCTCTGCCATTTGGTTGAATTTCATCTCTATAGCTCTTTCACTCATTTCCTGGAGATGGGAAAAGAATTTTAGTAATTTACTCTGCAGGTGAAATTACACTGGTCTTTCCCAAGTATACAATAGCTATTAATTTAATTCTCTTTTATGAGGAATTCAAAACTGTAAAGAATTATTTTTTATTAAATGGTTTAAACAGACTTGATTACCATAGGCTAAAATACTGATCTATTAAGAAGTGATCAGATTTATTTGAAGACTCTCAGGCTGTGGGGATGTTACATTTGACGTCAGTGAAGAGAACTATACAAATTTTGAGGTCTGAAAATGTCCCTCGAATAATATCTGCATTATATCATCTTAGATATTAATGATGCTTTTGAGTACTACCTGACAAGTATTGTTAGGACATTTGAACAAAACTTACAGTTTTTTCCTTGAAAGTAGATGAGAGTTGGTCAATCTTTTGCACAAGCTCTTTTTCAATCCTTTCGTGTTCCTGTTCCAACCAGCTACGTGCAGACAAAATCTGGCTGCTGAGTTCTTCAATAGCATTTTTTAATCTAAGAGCATAATAGAAATTAGCAGATACAAAAGAGAATAAAATTTGGTCATTCAGCTGTGACAGATTTATGAACATGTTTGTAAAAAAAAAATATCATGGTAATGCAGTACATGCATGACACCATATTAGGGTGAACCCTCAAACTTTTAAGGCTACTAAATTGAATAAAGTAACATTCGTTTTGCAAATAAAGACAAAAGAGCACAATAAATAGATGAATATGAATATATATATTCATATAAATAACAAGTAGTTATTTATATGAAACATATCACAACATTTTGAGGTGTAGTAGGTACAAATTCTTTGCGGCATTGAAAACAGAATGTAGTCATCTGTTCAGATTATAATCTTCCAGTCCATAGGTTTTAGATCTGAACAAAGATTTGATAACCATTTACTTTAGAGGCAGTGCTGGTTCATACAGCCACACTTACGTTGCCTATCCCCAGATCAAGTTTAAACTGACCAGCTCTGCCAGTGCAACTGTTTCTTTAGAAAGTCTTTTTTTTCCAGTGAATATTTGAAACCTGGATCTATCTTCTAGTTTGCAAGTAGTTCTACTGATGTAGCTGATAGGATTTCATGAGGCTGGCAATAAGCAGTAAGGAGTAAGGAGGTGAATGGCTTAAGCCACAACTGCCACTGAGTGAAATGCCTGGAGAAGAGTTAATATCTGAATTGAGTATATCCCTATATAATGGCTAGTAGTTGCATAGTAGCTTATCATTAATAATTTAGGTATTTGAGTTATATATTTGTATTTGAAGCCAATTTAAAGCAGTAACACTTTGTGAATGCTGTGCCTCACTTCCTGGTGGCTTGAATTGAACTTTTTGTCTGCACTCCACAGCATTTGTTGCCTTGTACAAAAAGGCCACTCCTACAAAAATCCTTATTTGTGTCCTTTAGTACAAGTTCTGTCTGAAAACTGGGGACTTACTTAGTGGGCTTTTCAGAACTGCCTAACCACATTAGGGACAGAATTCTTGTTGAAAGTGAGTCCTCCTTGCCAGACCATGTGCTTTTGTAATATCTGTTGAGCACACATGCATATTTAAACAGGTTCGTGCTTTAATAGACCTGAAGATTACAACAGTCAAACTTGAAAACCTGAGGACCCTTTCTTCCAAGGTGCATGGTAGCAGCCAGGTGTCCCAGGCACTCACTTCACATCCAGAAGGTGGAGCTGTTGGTTGCTCTCTTTGTAGGCAATCTTCAGCTTTGCTTCTTGTTGCATTATTGATTGCTCTACTCTGCTCAGAAGATGAGAAATCTGAAACAAAATTCAGAATTTACAATTTTTCAACAGCATTTCATCACAGTCTCATCTGGGATGTTTTCATAACGGTAGAGGGGATCTTAAAGGAGGGCCGATTTTACTGCCACTTCACAATTACTGAATTTGCATGTTTTACTTTATCATGAAAAATATATTATCTTGCAAGATGAAAGTATCAATATTGTGAAAACTAATTTTTCAGCCATAAACAGTTTTAATAGTCTTGCCTTGAAAGCATCTGCAAGCTCCCTCTCCTTGAGGTAGCTGAATTTATATGATCCATAGGCATCCGTGTTGCCACATAAGCAGAGTAAACAAATGGCAAAGCACTCCACCAATACTGAGTGATATTCTTTATCAGATCATGTATAGTGGCTCTGCAGTGATGAAAGTGCTGGGTTTAATTGGGGATAAGTCATTACTAGCAGGAACTATTTTTCTTTTTAGAAAACATACTATTTTGTTCTAAAAGATTCCTGATAATATGATCCTGACATGCAAATATACTGTATTGAGCCTTCTGAGGAAGGTAAAGTGCACTTTAACCATTTATGTGCTGCACAGTGGAGATGTAAATTACTTCAGTTGCCCAAGAAAATGGGAACGCCTTGAGAGGAGCTATGGAGAATCCTTTGCCTTAATGTTGTCTCTGCTTCTATCTAGTTCTCACTTTCATTCTTATACCCAGTGGAAGAGAAACCTGACAGATACATCAATGGATTCACAGAACACAAAACCAGTTTTGTTTTGCAGACCTTCAAAAATTGCGATTAAATACATATAAACCCATCCTGGGGAGGCCAAAGCATACAGGGGAAGACACTGATGCTTGCACTGTTGTAGTAGTTTTGTAGAGCATCCTTGTTGTGTTCCCATTCCAACCTCAAGAAGCTATTCAGGCCAGTAATTGTTGACTTTTGTTCATTCCTAGAGTCCCTTCAGGTGCTTTGAAGTACTAGCCCCTTCTACACAGCATGCCAAAGGACTGTGAGCAGATACACCTCTCCCTGTGTAAATCTGTGACCTCCCAGGATAATAACTAACGGTAATGGAGTCAGTGTGAATTGGACTATAATTCTTACCCACACATGGATTGCTTTGGTCTAAATACCATACCTGTATTTCTGCTTCTTTGATTTTAGATTCCAAGATAAGCTTGGAGGTCTGTTGGTCTTTACTTAAGCTCTGAAGTCTTTCATAGGTAATTTTATGTTCTGCAGACAGTCTGGCTAACCCAGCATCACACCTGTGTGAATAAAATACCAAAGCAACAGCTGAAAAGACTGTAAGATCCAGGCTTTTAAAGTTACCCATTTTAGACTGGGCATTTCTGTGAAATGGTTGACTGTCTAGTGAAACAATGTCTTTTGAGACTGTAAAAATGGTGACAGATCTCATAGTATTCAGCAACCTACTCCCAAATGGGACTAGAAGTCAGATAGTCTGACACATACATTCCTGTCTTCTTGGCACTGACATAATATGTGTAGACGGTGTTGTTATCATTCAGGGGAATCGCATTAGAAATGCAAAGATGCAGAATTTCAATACCGTCAATTTTGTCATACTCCAAAAGACATCTGTTAAGGTGTGTATGATTTCTCTTACATGATTAGAAGCCTAAAAAATCAAGGACTATTTTTGCATTATTGCAGCTGTGTTTCTCTGGGCTTTGCATTCTTATTTTTATTTGTGAAATAGCAGTATACAATTAATATGTGCAGTAAACAATGTGCGGCAAATTTTATAGTTATTAGACTTTATTTAGGTAAAACTGTCATTGAAAGAAAAGGCAATTTTGTCTCTCAGATGCAGTGTTGGAACATAATTCTTGTTTCTTTTCTTCACACTGGAACCTTTTTTGATGCTGTAACATTTTAAGGATAAATGTACTTAGAATATGTGCATTTCCTACCACATTTCAAAGCTGGTCAGGTGGATTTCATCTACAGTAATACAGTAAGGGCATTAACTGAGCTATAAAAATAAGTACTGTAATTTCAGGAGGAATACTTATGTGAAGTACGAGTCCTGCATATTTTTTTGCTAAGGGAAATAGTGTTGTCAGCAGTGTTAGCAAATCTGATCTATGAAACTGATGGAGAACAGGCAGCAGCTACAATTTGAGGGAGAAAAAGGCAGTAAAATGAAACAAGGCACTTTAAGTCATTACCTAAACCAGTGACACATTTTAACCTCTTTTTTAGTCACGTATCAATTAGAAGCCTTTCATTTCAACATGCATTTTCATCACCTCGGTTACAGTAACTACCATTATCATTAAACATGAAGGGAAAGTAACAGCTAAAATGACAAATGGAGCATCTACTTAGTATTATGGTACAATTTCAATATAAAAATAATCCGTAAAGCAACATAGAATCATAGACATTGTAAAACTTGTGAAAATTAATATCTGGTTTAGCAGAATTTAGCATTGTGAGAGCAATGGGTAATATCAGAGAGATTAATACGTAAGAGACTAGCTAAGGATTACATGTCAGTGAACCATGAACTTGTAGGTCTTAAAATCTTGTAGGTCTTAAAATCTTTTCTAAAGAAAGGCGAGAGAAGCCAAATCTCTCCATGTTGGTACGATCTGAGAGACTCAGAGGGATGAAATAATCTTGTACCTAGTCACCAAAAGCCTCTGGGCGCAAAAAAATGGTTAGCTTTGTTTCTCTGACCCGTAACAGAAAATACAAAAAAGCAACTGTAGCAAATGTAAACAGCAGGCATGTGTTATCGGTCTGAAGGCAAATGAGCGATTTGGGTTTAATCACAGGGCATCTCTCCTCTTTGTGTGACTCGGTTATGTGATCAGAGGGGTCATACAGTTGCATGGTAACTGGAACATTAAAATTCTGACTATGTTAATTCACTGTCAGCCTGGTATGCATTAACCAGATTATTTTGGTTTCCTACAGGGATGCTATAGTTGGCACCCTTTTAAGAAAGTTGGACTAAAGCTTAAATTCCACTGTCATGTAGGTATCCTGCTAAGTCTGGGGAGTTGTTAAAAAACAATATTCCATTTGAAGCAGTGAAAGAGAAGTCTTTTTGAGATCTATTGATATATATGTATCTATATATGTCAAAATGTATATATAGTACACACTCACAAACACCTGATTAGTTTTGACCTGGAAGAAAACATTAGTGTCCTGAAGACAAAGAATGAGATTCTGATATATTAGTTATGTGAGTATACACTTTGACTTAAAAACTGAAAACAAATAACTTCAGTCCATGCTTCCACTAGCTTTCAAATGGTAGAGAGGCAATAATAAGATGAAAGTATGGAAGACCGTGGACTTTTTGAGTCAGGTTTCTACTGCATGATGGGTGAGAAGAAAATGAGCAATCTAAACATGAGGACACATCATAGTTTGGGATTTTTCCTCATTAAAAAAAAAAAACCAAGCAAAAAAATTAAAGGCACCAAGAAAGGCACATTTCCATCCCCACTGAATTAAGCCAGTAGACTGTGGCTATAGATGGAAGTTGAAAACAGCTTTACAGGTTCGGTCATCTTAAAAGCACAAGGAAAAAAATGAGAAATAGATTAAGATTTCTAGGAAGAATAATAGTTTAAAAAGCTAAGAGCTGTATATAAAACCATTTTGTACAAAGAAATGCATAATAAATCTGTCTTCATGTCTGAAATGCTGAAGCTGGCCATACAAACAACCCAGTGCAGTTTTTCATATGCAATTGCACAGATGCACTGTTGAAATGGGGCCAAAGATGCACTAGAGTGTGTTCAGTTCACCAACGTTTGATTTTGGAGTACATTTTCTGGACGTTCTGATTGCCAAGCTGTATGCTTATGTGAAATCAGTAAATGAAGGAGAAATTGAGAGATTTCACACTGCCAAGTATTATTCTCATTTTCAGAATGAGAGGAACAAGTATGTTTAATGTAAACAGGGAAATTACCAAACAACTGCTTTCCAAGTCATAGTGAGCAAAAGCAGTAGTTAATTTTCTGGCACTCTGAGGAGTATTTTTGTTGTCTTTGATCTAAAGGAAATCAAAACACAATGGTTGCTCTATTCTGTATCACCAGGGACTAGATAAAGCTGAGAACTACATCAATACTCTGCATCAGGATGCTATCTAAATATACTGTAATGGTACATACAGATCTTAATATTCCTGGCTTAGTGTAACAGGAGAGGGTTCGGTTTAAATATGAGTGTTTCACTGCCAAACAAGTAGCTGAAGAACAAGTAGTGAAAAGCAAGTCAATATGTGTAGGGGATCCACTGGGCAAGAACAGCAACGCTGGTAGCTTCTGACTAGCCTGGATCAAGGAGCCCAGATCAGCCTTCATGATGAGCATCTCTTACACAGCAAGTAGCCAGAATGCAGCAGGTTTGTTATACTTCTGCAGTTCATAAATGCAGCACATCCCAGATGCATCAGACTCATTTTCTGTGCAGTGTAGGAAAATCTGCCTACATGTAATGAGTCCAGTGTGTCTGAAATGAATCAGATCTATAATGTATATAAAAATCATCTAAATATGCCAAGTAGGCCCAATTTGAATGTGCATAGCTGTCATTTCTCTGGAAGTTTCATCTATCAGGAAGCTTCTAGAGACAGCTACTGCTATAGTTCTGACCAGGCTGCTGTCTTTAAACTTTCCAGACAAATTATCATAGCCCCTATCATTTATTTTGAGAAGTTATTCTCTAAATAAATGATAAGGCAGTACTCATTATTGTAACAATTGAATATCACTAGAAATAGAATTAGTAAATCTGTATTATATAAAATTGCCAACGTCAAGGACAGGAGACTAGAGTAATGGATCTGTCAGCATCTGTCTAATTTTCTGCTGAACATGTAACTGAATTCAATAGAAGTCATATTTTTATTGAAGTCAGTAATAATGCTGATTTTTAGGAAAATGTACAGCATCATTCGCGGTGAGCACTGCAGTGATGCTCTACAAATTCAGCAATAAATTGTGCTTAATGAGAAATAGCCCAGAGACATGAGCTGTAATGTGTATACAGTTTTCTTCTGATAGTGATATTAGTTGATTCTGTGATGCAGGTGAGGTCAACTGTGAGGTCTGTCCAAATCTCCCTCTTCCAGATCCATGGGTAGTATGGTTTTGGAGCTGTGCATCAGAAATGCATGTGCATGTAGGGGTCCCTGTTCTCATCATTAAAAGCATCAATCCTGAAGAAATAATGAGACAGTTGCTTGATTACATATTGACATGTTACAGAACAGTTGGTGTTAGGAAATAAACACCAATCTCACCAATATTGAAGTTGAATAGGATGTTTAGTACGCGTGTAGTTACTGGACCTGAAACTTGGCCAGCATCCTGAGATTGACACTAAAATTATTACAGGACCAAAAAGCTCAGACTCAGGTGATTTGCTGTCACGTGGCACATATAAACTGATTCACACTGATTGTCCATCTGCGTGCTTCTAGCCTAGAGGAACCATGATGTACTTGAAGTTAAATTAGCCTACTGTCACTGCAGCATGAACTATACATTGTACCTTGAGTGTGGCTGTAAACTGCTGCATGATAAGCTGGTAACCCACAGTAACTTGATCACGTTTCTAAGGTTCCACTCTCTGAACTCATCTGAAAGATAGCAGGACTAGATGTTAAAGTTAAAATTACATTAAGTGAGTTCAGCTTATTTTACATAAGGAACCTTGGCTAAAGTAATCAGAAAGTGTTTATTCCAGGGAATGCTCCTAGTAAGTGTCTGTACAATGCCAGCAGCATAACAAACTGCCATCCTGACCATGCTCTCCAGATACTGCTATAATAATTCACATTTTTTCTCAAAGTAGAGTATGTCTGTAAATAAAGGCAAATAGCTTTCTTCCATGGAGCACTGCTTTAGCTTGCTTCCTGATAAAGGGAAGCTTATTTTCTTCCTCATTCAGAGAGAATTTTTACATAGCGTAATCACAGAATCACTAGGGTAATGCTGACTAGAAGGTAACAGTTAAAGGACAATAAACTGATTCTCTTAGCGTAGTGAATACAAATAGCCAACATTTTTTGCACAATCTAACATAAGGCAAATTGGTATAATCTCATACAATTATCAGATAAATTGCAAGCCAGGCACAGTACATAGGTGTTCCCTGAGTAAACAAAGGAAGAAATCCTGGCACAGCCTGTGCTAGTCCCACTACCAGTCACCATGGCAAGTACTTGGGAGAGGCAATGGTTCCATTGTAAAGCTCGTGCTGGCATGTGTTCGTTAACTTGAGTTCTGTTATTGAAAGTAAGGGCGCTATATTTAGCTTTAGAAGGTGTCAGTAACTGTGTTGTTCCAAACATGGACTTCTCTCAGGATGTAGTATGATCTCAAACTGGACTTTTTAGATAAAGAAGCAGGAAGATCTAAGCATGTAAATGTCTCAGGGGTTTGTCAGTGAGATAGCTATATATGTGTGTATATCTCTCTCTATATTTTTTCAATCAATTTTGTTGTTTGACAAAATAAATGTCTAGTTCATTTCTAATATCTAGTTCATTTATGCACTAAAGGATAGTGCAAAACAGAAAGTAAAAGTTCTCCAAAGTAAAGTTCTTTACAAAATGGGCTGTGTATGTTAGTGGGAACTGCAAAAAAAGACCCCAATAATTTATGAGAAAACTTTAGTTCAAGGAAAATCCCTCCTGATTATTTCTTTTGGCTGTTGAAGGTTATTGCTAAATCAGCTGAAGTACAAGAAAAGAAAAATTAAAATTTATCTGTACAATATAGACAGTAGGTCAAATTCAGGACAAGTAGACTTCCACCAGAGTTATGAGCCAAACTGATTTAGGGCAGATTAGGTCCTTTTTCTGTAGCTGTATCATCTGTCTTTTGTGTTCAACTTTACAAACAGTTAAGTGAATGTTGTTAAACTGGAGTTTGTAAATGTGCTGTTGATAGCACAATGTGAGGTCTGTGTAGTGGCACAACTATAATCTGGAGTTTCAAATAGCCTGTAAACCCTCTATTATTTTATAATTTTCAGTTCCTTACATGTCAGTAGCCCATGCCTTTTTTTTAATATGGCTAACCAATAACTGACCCCACAGCTTTTTACTTCTAAGATATATGCAAAAAATGTGCAACTATTCTGTCCTTTACAACTGCACATCATTCCATGCTGCCTTTATAATTGCACTAATTTATTTGTTTCAGAGATAGGCCAGTCCAACCATAGTAGTCTTTAAAGCTGAACCAAATCCAAATTCCTAAGGAATTTCAGGTAATTTATTAAAAACTAATTTCAGGAATTTCAGGAATCAAGGATAGCATTGTTATGTTTAACACGTAATACTGGAATGCAAAGGATTATTATTCATTTTCTTGAAAACACAGAGTAAAATTATCGCAGGAATTTTGCCAAAGTTGAACTCAGCCCATTGTCATTAACATTCATACTTCAAGACTAAAACAACATTAGCTAGTCCCCAAAATATGCTTCTGTGTTGACTTTTACCTTGCAACTCTTCCCCGAAGATCTCCTAAACCAGAAAGCTGCCGCATTTCTAGACTCTTCAGGGTAGAATTTGTTCCATAGCTGAGATTGTCTCTGACACGTATCTGTTCCTGCAGCATCTACAAAGCATTCATATGCAAATACAATCTCAGTATGTCACATTTAACGTACACTTAAAATGTCACTCATTATTTTTCAGTATTTCATAACATCAGATACAATTTTTTTATGACTATTAAAAGCTTTGTTTTGTCTTGAACTGAACCAGACACCTTTTAGGTCGTATGTTTATTTTTTTATTCTCAGTGTCCAGTCTGCATATAAATACCATAATATGTATAAAGTATGACTTGACAACAGAATGAAGACTTAAATATTAACTTTTATCCTTTTTTTCTTCCCCACCACACCCCTGTTGCTCACTGTAGCAGAGGTCAGGCGTGAAGCCACGTATCTGCATGTGATTAGGTCATCTTTAAGTTGGTGTCATCTTTAAGTTGGAAGTGAAAGAAAGTTTATTACAGAGCTAAGGCACTTCCTGGTGTTTATACAGCACAGGCTTTGGTCTGAAGTTGAGCTGGTTATGAGTGTTGCATTCATTCATTTTTTTGAGGTTTTCCAGTGCAGCTTTTCAAAGCAAGTTTATTAGTACCACAAAGGTTTCTGTGTTTGTATGCTAATATGCTGTGCTATCTTCATAGCCACTGAAAGAATTATGCAACTTGCAAGCAGTTTTTCAAGTTACAAAAACAATTCATAAGCTTGCAGGATCTTTAGACCTTGTCTGACCTTTAGTTATCCTGTGGTAAACTTTCTTATTAAATCAGAAGGAATAAGTAGCTGAGATGGCATTAGTCCTGTGAAAAATTCTTAACATACCTCAATGTCCCGATTAAGCTGCCTCACTATTGCCGTTATGTTTCGGATATGTTCCTCCAGGAGTTGCCTAGCCAACCGGTCACCCCCCCCTTTGTTCTGCATTCTGTGCAGAGTGGAAACAATGTCCTCCTTAATACGAAAAGCGTGTTCCACAAGAGCCGCTGTTGTTTTCTCATGGCTTAGGATTCTGTCTTCCAGCTGATCCACCAGGCTCGCAGATGCCAGCGGGACCGCTGTCAATGCCTGGCTATGCAGTGCTATGTTACGAACCCGTCTAGTGAAGAAAAATATCCACATATTGTTAATTTCTCACACACAACTCTGCAATGTCTTTCCACTGGAGAAAGTGCAATATTACCTTAGCAGCAGTATTGGGAAGAAGCACAAAAATACTTACAGAGTAACCCACTTCTACAAATAAATGTTGGCTACTGTGTCTATCATGTACAAAAGCAGGTCAGGCCCTTTTTCATATTCTTTAAAGAAGCTTAAAAAAGCAAAGGGTCTTAAAAAAAGGACATTAGCATTATAAAATTAGTTACGATCCAGAGCTACAATTTGGTTAAGAATCCAAATTCAAAACCTTTCTATTGTATTACAAAAGTAATGCTATTTGGCTCTATAGTTTTCAGGCTTAATCAAAGCAGTAACTGCAGAAGGCAGATATTGCAAATTAAATGGAAGCACACTGAGATTAAAAAGGAGTAGCTGGTATCCATTCCTTTTTTCAGTCTCTATAGCTATTCTGTAATAAAGCTTGTTCCTCCATGTCCTGCACAGGACCATATGCACATGTACTAACTGAGGAGAGACCAAAATTACGAGTAGCTTCTCATAGTCTTGGAAGTCAAATTGTCCTCCAAAATAGCTTACGTTTAGGTACCTTAAATAATTGTCTATATTTTTCAAGAGTTCTGCACTGCACAGCTTCCATGGAAAGCAATGGAGCTCATGGGTGCTCAAATTAAAAATTAGGCTGCTAATGCATGCAATCTTTTCCTGCTGCTATATTCTGTAAAGAGGAAAGAAAAATTTCCAAAGTATAGGTGGAAGATACAAATTCAACCCCACTTTCAGAGATGAGATCGTTTTCTTGGAACTCTGTATTTACTGTGCATTCTCCATGTTGTTTCCTATTAATGAGCCAAATTAACTGCTTACTTGCACCATGATGATATTGATAGAGATGTATGAGAACTCCAGTAAAGGTCTCTTCTGACTCTGAGTTTTTGCACTTAGTCCATACTGTTAGAAGACTGGCTGAGTATAGTGTTCTCGGACTTCTACTCACACTTTAAACTAGTTGATTTCTCTGGGAAAGGGTTAAGTAAAAGCTGAGTAAGGAATTGTGATTTGGGCCATGATTTGAATGAATTCACAGTATTTCACTTTGCTTTGCATACTAATGCCAAAGTCCCAAGTCACAGTATTACTATATATAGGGAATTGAGAGACACATAATACTTTGCAATATGAAAATTTTATTTTTTACATTCCAAACTGTACCTTTCAGAAGGGGCAAGAGTTGGGAAGATTGGGCTTCGCTGGGCCATTTTCTGGTCAATAATATATGTCTGTTGAAAAAGTACACATTGAATTATTTACTAGTTTATATCTGGCACTGAAACAACTTAATGCTTCTGTTTTAAGTGAGCCTTTAAGTAAAGTTTAAGATTATGCTGACAGCTTTGATCTCAGAATTCAGATATTGCTTATGGAATAAATACAGATAAAAATTAATACAAAAGAATAGAAACAAAAAAACTGCTAAAAAGCTTTTTTTTTTTTTGGTAGGGAAAACGATACTCGTGAAAAAGGCACGGTTGACAGCCTTGAAACTGAAATTTGCTGTTGACCCACAGAACTGGTTTGGCAGGACAGAGGCAAACAAACTTCTTGTCCCCAATCTCTCTGCTGGTCTCAGACATCGTTAATCAATCAATAAAAAAGTAAGATCAACAGGATTATCATAAAGCTTAAAAAGGTATTGGCTAGAGAATGGAATAAAAATATTTCATGACAGCAGATTTTTTGGGGTATCTTTCCGGTAAAAGCATTGGCAGTCAGAATCCTAAATAAAATGTGTGACATCAGCACAGTTTAGGAAAACTAAGCCTTGCATTAATCTGTCTTCAAATCTAAATGACCACACTTTATGCTGTAAATGCTTCTGTGATAGGAATATAAATTCTGGTTTTAATTTTTAGACATAGCCAGCCAGAGTGTGACAGACATTGCATCAGGGCAGGCCTGTTAAGTAGCTTCAGAGGACCATTTTGGATATCTTACTGTGAGACCAGTACATGGCTAATAGCTTTGTTCATTGACAGAAATTAAGTTAATGAAAAAGATGGTATCCTCAATCAAATCCAACTATTCCACCTTATATAAAACAAATAAACATTAACTACAAATAGGACGAGCATGGCCTGAACCTGAATTCCTTAGGAATCTAAAATCTTTACTGAAAACTAAAGGCTGATGTATGAAAAGAATTTTGCAATTGCTGATGAAATCTGGTGTAATATGCTGTACAAACAGGAAAATAGGGTTATTGACACAATAATACTGATGGTAAAGAAGTGCTAGTGTCAAATACTGATGGTAAAGAAGTGCTAGGACTACCCTCAGAGATCTCAAAATGCCAAGCATGTTTGTGCTTTAGAGATGTATGAAAGCACTGCCTAAAAGCAGAGAGCAAGCATTGTCACAGTATGTGTGTTCTATTTATAGCACAGTGCTTCAGAAACTACAAATTAGAGAAAAATAGTTTTGAGAGAAGCTGGGTTGCTGAGCAGCAGTGACATTAGACTGCAATTCAGAGGGTCTGATTCTAACTCCTTGCTCAATCCCTGGACAAGTTGTTTCTATATCTAATGATTCTATTTCCCTTTATGGAAGACAGAGATACCTTCCTCCTTGTTTAAGTTCTTGCATGCCTATAAGTAAAAGGCACAGTGTAAGAGCTGGCTATTGTCTTGATGAATTCTGCTTTCAAAGTCCTGCCTAGGCCCTGACTGTTCAGTCCCGCAGCCTGTTCTTCACACTCGTGGTTTCCTAGCTGCTGTTATTTAAACAATGCCATTGCTCTGCAGGACATCCCTGCTGTGTGCAGTGTTACACACTACAGTAACTGGGCACCTCTCGGTAGATCTGAGCTCATTCACTCCTAATCCTCTGGGCCATAATGTGTTTTACTGATCTCGATGCAATGAAGCATTTAAACACAACTTAATTATAAACTCAGGAATATCCCACTCATTTAGAAGAGCGTATCACAGCAGCAAAGCACTGGATGCTGCCTAGAAAAACGAAGAAAAAATACTAAAGTCTGTACATCTAGCAGTATCTTAGTGAAATACACCTTATAAAAACCAGCCAAACAAGAAAAAACCCTTGACTGGATTGTAGTAAATGTTATAAATAAGTAAGTGTTGTAATCTTACAACCTTCAGTATTCCGTTATTATTGATTGAAAAAAATAGAAAATGTTTGCAGCAGAGCAAGCATAGGATTGCTTGAATGTTTTACTTTTTTTCTTCCAGACTGCATTAGACATGCAGCTAAATGCAAATGTCTGGAGAAATTGTGCCTATGAAACTAAAGTTACACAGATGGACTCTCATTCATTCGTTCCTGCTGACTGAAGCACATCACTCAGTACAACAGTGAAATACCCCATCATTTATCAGATTTCTTGATCTCATCTAACATCCAGAAAGGATGTGTTAAGACCTTGCTCAGCAGTTGTAAAAAAGCTTTTCTGCAGTTTGGAGATATTTACAGTAAACAATAACGGATTAGGTGTCAGAACTAATGACAGACTCCCGCTTTATGAGCATAATACTGATTTAGAATCATAGAATAGTTAGCCTAATAAATATAAAGGAAAAAAAATATATTCTGTGCCTAGATTCAGGGGAGTGTAATTTCACATAGCTCTGATTTTAGTGGCAGCAAACTGGAATCAACTTGGATACCAGTTCAGATACAGGTTTCAGGTGCTTTGTATTTTTTACATGTTATCTCCTGCTTGACACTACTATAGCAATTTAAATCATGACATATTAGCCAGTGATTTTTGTTGATTGTCACATGGACAAGGTTTTCCCAGTTCTAAATGGTATGCCTGATTGCCAAAAGCAAGAGTTCAGCTGATACATAAGGCAGCTTTTCCATATGAGCGTCTGGCACCTCATTATCATTTCTTCATGTCACTGACATCAGACATGTAAATGCTTGGGAAAAAAAACATACATGGGACATGCTGAAGAAACACTTTTGGCAATGCAAAGTTCATTCCTTGCTATTTGTACTGTGGCATCCCTTGCCCACTTCAGCAGACTGCCTCGCATGTTTACTTTCTGTGGGTTCTCCATTTCTCCTGTTTTGAAGGATAATCACATCTGTAATGTTCAGTTCTCCATCTTCCATGAAAACCTGTGTCAAATACTTGCTGTAATGTCAGTGCACGTCAGAGCGGTTTTCACATTCATTCTCACAATATGCCTGGGTGGTGGGAAAGCATTATTTTTCCTGAAAATACTATTTTCCTTCTGTTGCTGGTCAGGAAGTGAAGCACGTGGGGGCTACGTGACTTGCCACAAGTTGCATGGGAATCGAAGCAGACTGAAATACCTGCCTAGGCAAACACTTTAATCGCTCTTTTCTTCTGAAAATAGAAACCGCTTTGGTTGCTGTACAGTATGGCAGTACTGCCCCGGAGCCGCAGATCCTGGTGTTAGTCTGGAGCACTTTGGGGCGACATTTTGGAGTACATGAGAAAGCCCCTGTGTCACAGCTCGGCAAAAAGATGGGTCAAAAACTGATGTATCAGTGCGTCACGTGAAACAAACCCTTGCAAAACCCCTCTGCGCTGCCATGACGTTCTGTGAACATGAATGCGGTGTGCGGCGGAGTACGGGGCGGGGGCTTCCCCCTGGCAGAGAGGGAACTGTGCCAGCTCCGAGCCCAGGCTAAGGGTCCTCTGAGAAACGCGCCTGCTCAGGTGCTTGGTGCTAACGCAGCCATGCAGTATTCGGGGTGCGAGCTGGGACCCGTTTCGGCGGCACGCCGCGGGGATGCTCCGCTCCGCTCCGCCTGCGCTCGCCTCGCCCGCGGCTCTGCCGCGCAGACAGGCCCGGGCGCGCCGGGAGCACCCTGCGGTGCGGGGGTCATCGGGAATCGTGGTGAGGGCTGTGAGACACGGGGTAGGCGACAGCTGACAGGACACCGCGGCGCAGACACCACTCTACGGCCATGCAACACGGAGGGACAGAGTTGGGACAGACTCAGCGGCGGGCGCAGGGCGCTGCGCGCACTCACCCGTGCTGGATCAGGGCAGGACAGCGCTGCCCATCTTTCCCTGCATCCCAGCGGCCGGCTGAGCCCCGCTCCTTAACGCGCTGCCGCCGCTAGAGCAGCCGTTGGCGAGCCTTCGCGGCTGCCTCCAAGCAGCCGGGCCGTCCGTCCGCCCGTCCGTCCGTCCGCCCGCAGCGCGGGGCCTCCGCCCGCCCGCCGGGCTGCAGGAGCGGGGCGGCCGCCGCAGGCCGGGCTGCGGGAGCGGGAGCGGTTGCCAGGACGCCGTCGCCATGGGAACGCGCTCGCTGGGGGACAGCGCCGCGCGGCAGCCGCGGGGGGGTGCACGGGATGGGAACACGTGAATATTCCAGCCGCCAGGACAACCCCTCGGGCCATCGCTTCCGCGGTGCGAAGGAGGGAGGGAGAGACCCCGCAAACACCGGCTGGGGTCCCTGCGGCGGGGTCAGCGACGGAGCTGCGGAGCGGGGCCAGGCCTGCGGCTCCCGCACCAACACACGGCCTCCAGAAAGAAAGTTCGGTGTTGCCAAAGCAGTAGTTACTCCGAATGACTAATGGTGTGAAAGAGCTGAGTGTGACTGAAGTATGGATTTTTCCACAGCATGTAACAAATCCTGATAGAATGCAAGATTGTTAAAATCAATGACAAATAATAGTTTTGTTTATAAGATTTCTGGCTTATCTTTTTCAAACAAGAGCTAACATGTAGCTTCAGTAAAACTTCATGTATCACAGCAAAGATGATCTGTCCTTTGCACAGCAGAGGCATATGATCCAAGAGAAAAGCAAAGTCCTTAGAGGGTGTGTCTTCCTGCACTTTTGCTTCCTGCCTACGTCATTCTTTGGATTTCAGTGCAAACCACCTTGGGTAAACAAAGGGTAAGTAAAATCACAGACAAACTTACTGCATCAGTTCACTCTGAAATAGCAGATTGTCTCTGGCTTTCGTTAAAATATATACAACATCTTCTACTGGGGACTGGGGTTCTGGAAGATGCAAAGGATAAAAGTGTTACAGCATACACAATTACTGTAAAAAGCAAGGCAGGGCTGAATCCACACTCTGATTGACCTATTTATTTTAAAGTGATTCCCACATCAAAGGTTTGGCCCAGAAACAAAACATGCCATAGCTGCTTTCAAAATAGGATAGTAACCAACTGAGAATCATAGGATTGTGGAATCATTCAGGTTAGCATGGACCCCGGGAGGACACTTGGCCAACCTCCTGCTCCAAGCGAGGTCACTGAGGAGGCCAAATGCAGTTGTTGAGGGTTTTATCCAGCCTGCTCTAGAAAACCTCCAAGAATGGAAATGTCCAGCGTGATTTTTCTTGCTTTTTGGGTATTCAGTGTTTTCAGGAGGTTGTACATCTGCAGGAGTAGGAATTGAAAGCAAATTGTTATTTAAAGCAAATTGATTATTTTCATTTACAAATATGTCAACATCTGTACCTCCTACTGAAGTCTTAAAAATAACATTAACAGGTACCTCAATACCTGCTCTCAGTCCACTTTGTCCCTGTAGCCTGTGTCTGACAACAGAGTTCAGCATGGCAGGGGACAAAGGATGGGGAGCTGATATGTGAATGCTTGTCTGTTCTTGCACTCCTCCCTAGGCACCTGTACCAGCCACTGCCTGATACAGGACACTGAGGTGAATGATCTTTGGTTTGACCCACCCAAACGTTCTTTTCATTTTGTGTTATCAGAGATCATTATTTTTATACTTACATCACTTCCTTGATGGTTCTAACTAAAACAGTACTAAACTGTTGTATTTTATATCATTACATCTTCTGTGTAATTGATACTGAATACATAGATTTATTTTCTTAAAGTCCAGTTCAGATCACTTTCCTTATCAAAGCACAATATCAACAAAAATGTTTATTCTGGAGCGTTCAACTGTCTCACTCATGAATGGAACTCCATTTTAAATAATCACAGAATTACAGAATGGAGCAATTTAGGCTGGAAGGAACCCTTAGAAGAGAATCTGTTCCAACTCCCAGTTCAAAGCAGGGCTAATGTTGATGTTAGATCCAGTTGCTCATCATAACATAAAGTTTTGATCTTAAAAGCTTGTGTAATGTTTCAAAAAAATCTCCCTCTGATGAAGAAAATAACCCAAACAATTCTTGTACTTTTGGTGATGTGAACCCACAGCTTAACTGAAGTCAGTCACAGGAACACAGGCAGCAAAACTCCTCGGTTTCTGCGTTCCTGTGGACTTCTTCCAGATTTATACCAGCCTTGCAAATAACAACATTATTCATACATTTTGGTTTGCAGCTAGAGAAAAATTCATCTCCATGAATTCTGAGTATCTCTTATGTCTGAGGCTTCTCTTAATCAGATCCAGAGCCAGAGGGACACATGTTGTTTATCCTCCAAAAAAACCCACCCCAGACAACAAACCACTGGCTGAAAAGGGCTGTTCACTTTGCTACTGTACTTTTTACTGTAGTGGTATTTTAGATGGACATGTTAAACATGATAATAAGCATATCTTCCGAGCAGGTATGCTTCTCTAAAGCAAACAAAAGAGAGGAAGGAAGGGATATACTGTGTTAGCTGCAGAGAAAGGTAATGAAAGAAAACTGAAATTATTATACTGTTCTCCAACATGGAAAACTGTCCTCATGGCTGAATTGATTTCATCACATTTTGAGTAAAAAACTCCTGCCCTTGTTTGATACTTGCCATTTTGTTTGTCACTTCATTTTACAAGAAGAAATTGCTGAATCCATTCTTTATTTTCTGTAAGTAGAAATCTGCATTTGACAAATGTAGCTGAGGGCAGAATGTAGCCATCTGCATTTTAGCAGTGAGATTATAAAGTGTCTGTTTATTCGGTTTATTCCTTGGAAATCAGATACAGCAAAAAATTTCATTGAATTTTTAATTTTATACCGTTTGTTTTTCTGTGACACAAATCCTTCATCTTTCCAAGAAATACCAAAATGTGTGGTTTTCTGACTAGAAGTATGATGTCTTATTAAGGGCATTAAGCCTTATTTTAGTGGCTTTCAGGCATTAATTAAATTATTACTTAAATTATTCTGGCCAACAGAAGACAAATACGTGGTTTATAAAACTTACTCTGAATACATTTTGTAAGGAAGAGGAAAGAGGCAATGCCTTTTTTTCTTTCCCTTGCTGTCAGTTTTAACCACTTAGAAAGCAGTCAGGGCACTGCATATTTCATTAGGATTTCTCATCTTTCCCAGATTCACTGGCTTCTCGTAAGAATTATTTCTTTCTGAAGCCACAATAATATTTTTGGAACAGAGGACAAGGAAAAGTTGTGTTCTGTGGGCTTCTAGAGGTAAGGACCAGGTTCTTTTTTCAGACAGTATAGTCCTTATACATTTCAGCACCAGTGCTGGCACCCTGTGTCACTCAGACAGCGGGTAGCTGGAGACACATGTGTGAGTTACCGGATGCACTGTGGAGGCAACAGCTTCTCTCCTGAGGGTGTGACATGGGCCCCATGTCAGATGATGGCAAAGAGGCTGTAGTCACTCCCGTCAGTAGCCGGTACCCACCTTGGACAGAGTCCCGAATGCCAAGTCAATAAAACCTCCTCAGGCACTGAAATGAAGCTTGTTCTTAAACGTTTTCCTGAATCTTAGCACTAGCGATCAGTATCAGGAGGACCAAGTGCTGCAACGGCTTGCAGCCAGAAAATATCCTCAAAATAATTCTCTGTGCGTGAGCTGGTAGGTGTTAGTAACACAACACAACTCTGTCAGACAATACATGCACTGAAAAAACAGATGCAAGCTCTTGATGCAGGGACTTACATCTTTTCAAGTTAGGTCTTTTAAAGGTAACCTGTCCGTATGAATGTTGTGACAGACATTTCACCACTTCTGAGTTTTGTGTGTAATTTAAAAGTACAGAGATTCCTTTTTACTCCACTGGAGCTCCCCAAGATGAAAATGTGGGTTCTGGCTTTCCTGGAGATGACTATGACACATTATGGGCTGGAGGAGCCCAGGCATGCAGAACATTCAGGCATACCACCACTGACATTGGAAGGGAAATGCCTTCCCCTGCTTCTGAGCATGGATGTTGAATAAGTATAATTCACTTAAACCGGTCAGCTTGGGAATTAGATGTTTATCATTAAAATAAGCAGATTTAAATGAGTATGTTTAGAAGCATGAAAAGAGTTCATTGTAAACTCGACTGTGCTTGGTACACACAGAGCTAAGCAAAGGCTCCTGCAGACGCAGAGCACTGATACCTTTGTCCCTACAATTTTTGTTGAAAACCGTCTTATAGTCCATCTAGAGTAGGTGGCCCCCAGCAACACCCATAAACTGCAGTGAGCTCAGGACCAGTTTCTCCATTAGCTCTCCAGTGTGAATGCACTTTTTTACTCTCCTCCTACAGCCTAGTTTATCTACTTTTTTCATAACTTTTTTCATACAATATAGATGTTGTATGTAAGTAAACACACATACATACAAATATGTCTGTCTTAAGAAAATTAACCTAGACATTAAAAAAGACCCGCATCCAAAGCAAATAGGAAAAAACCTACCAAACCAGTATAGAGTCTCTTTTGTTTCTCAGCCTTATATTCACTCTCGGGATTCTTACAGGATTGTTTTTTTTCCAACACTTTTTAGCACAGTCTTATAAATTTATGTAACATTTCCATATTCAAATGAAATACTAGGTAGGCAAACTATTTTTGTCCTATTTCCATAAAATTGCTGTTACCTTCTGCTGGGAATCAAAGTGTGAAACTCGTGTAAAATTTTGCTCACTTCTAGCATTATCTAGCATTATGTTTTTGCTTTAATAGCTATTGTAGCTCATATTCCCCACCAATTACTTTCTCAATGAAAATACTTCCTACCTCTCCTATTGATATCAGCTAACATAAAATCCACTATGGAAATCCCAACTTTAACATGATCAGTAATCACACAG